ATACTCTAATAGTTTCAGTAATTTATTTGATTATTTTATTCAAAGAAACCAGATCGGTTTGTTTTTAGCTAGTCTGTTAAACTTGTCCTGCAGCGCCCCCATTCTGTTGAACTGCTAAACAGATGTGCTTTAGCTTCACACAAATGGAACAAATGTGAGAGGGAGGCCGATCTTTTCATTTGACTCTGCAACAGCAACAACGTTTACATTTCCTACACGTTCACCTCAGAACACCTGTGATCTCTTTATTTGAGGGATGTTTTACAAGCTGCATCTCATCAGTCTTCTCCAGTCATTTACATTAAGATACTCAAAAGCTAAACAGTAGAAGTAGAAAAATAGACTTTAAATAGTCCTCTGTTATTTACAGCTATCTCATATGGCTTTACCATAGTGGCATGCAAGGAAAAACTAAGACAAGCCTGAAGGTTTAACTACCTGAGTCATTTTCTCTATTCCATTTGTTGAGACTGGGAGTAAAGTACATCATCACGTCTAGGCTCTAAGGTGACGAATTACAACAAGGGACTAATCCAGATCCAGGTCACACTGTTAAGATGCTCCAGGGTTTCATATATATATATACAGTTATGACATGTCTCTTATTCACAGTGTAAGTGTGACGATAGGCTTGAGGACAGAGTCGATGTGCAAGGGAAACAAAGCAGGAGCATTTTTGGTGCAGTGAATTCAGAGATGACAGGGAAAACAAAGCGAGCTGTCTGGAAGGATATTAGAAGTCAAAGATGGAAAAAGTTGATTAGAGCCACCATTTATTCGTATTGTGTGTGAATATGTTAAAGAAGTGACAGTTTGAGTATAATGTCTCCTCCCATATCCTGGCTGTTTAAAAATACAACCAGGATAAAAAATACACCACCACAAAAGCGCTCAATTGCAGATACTATGGAAGAAATTATGCTTGTGAAAACGGAACCTGACGGAGAAGCACTGTATCCTTAAATTCACTAAATTAGGAGAGATCACCCTCTGAAAGCTTTGTTTATTATTATTATATATCTTGTCTGGTTTGTTTCGCAGAGAAAACCTTTTAGGGTTTTGAGTTTCAAGCGTTATTGTCACCTGTAGGATAAAACCATCAATGTTTGGTCTTGTCCCATTTGTCTTTTCCTTCCAACCCTCGTCCATTGAAATTGAATTACAAAGGGAAGTGGGAGAAATCTATCCCTGGGAAATGGAACACCGCTTCAAGAACATAATGAGTCATGAGTGATACCCAAGACGTAGTCATTCAAAGAAATGTCAGGAGTCATGTCAGAGAATGGCTTGAATGACTAAAGAGTATAATGGGTTGTTTTGGCTTAAATTTGATTTCTTAGCGATGTCACTTACCTCTTAATCTTTAACGTGTTGCAAGGTGGGTTGACCAGTCATGACACAACATTAATCATTTGAGCCAAAGCATGCGCTTCACCTGCGTTAGAGGTAGTTACATTCTTTAACAGCAGATGGCGGTAATTTACATGTTGTTGAGAGTAAAAGTGAAGTCGTAGCATTCCCAGTAAGAAGGACCTCACAGACATGGGAATTCTTTTAATGGAGTGGCTGCTGCCAATCCATTGAAGCCTTTTTGTAATGCGTTTGCAATGAAGCCATTTCCACATCTTGTTTTTGTTGACACAGTCTAAAACTGTGATCAACAACAGCCCACAAATGACCTGACTGCCCCATGGCCCACCACTGTGGTAACAACTAACTCTACACTGAAGCCTACGTCTCTTCTGCAACAAGACAATGTACAGTGTAACCTTAACCTCAACCCTCAACTTTCATTCAAATGTTAAATGGAGGGTCAAGGTTTAAGGTTAAATGTCAAGAGGGAAATTGAAATTCACCCTCCGCCGTCCCTGCGTCTCTAAAGGCTTCTCGTTGACTTGAAGTAAAATTCACCCCAATCATAAGTATGAATCCTGTAATTAAAATTTTAATTAAAATATTACCAGCCTTTATCTGTTGTTTTGTTGCTGGCAGCTGTAAGTTTGAAAAAACAAAGAGATACAATAGGGTGGTGTTTTTGCTTTCTGCTTTGATTCAAAGATCTGTGACACCACACTTGTAGCCAACTGATAAACAAACAAAAAAAAAACAAGTTTCTTTCCTTCGGATTTTTTGTTTTCAATCTTGTGGAATGTGACAGCAACAATCGTAGATGTCTAGTCATCCGCAAAATCACTGACGTTACTCTTACTCTTTCTACTATTGATTTATAAAATGAATGACCTGAGGGGTAAAACTTAAGCCATGACAAGAATGCATGGGAATTGCACAAGTCTACTAATGGTGCAAAAAATGCATGAGAAGTATAATGCATAGATCATCGTGTGCTATATCATTCAGTGATTACACCTGTATTATATGTACAAAGAATTAAGATTGCACTATGTACTTTCCTTGGCTCCATAACAGTAGAACGTTTCAGTCACTTAAGTCTGGTGCGATGAGCATGAAATTACAGACTGTTCCTGCAGACTGTCAGTGATATTTCATGGACGTTCAGTGATTTGCTCAGGGTTCAATGGTTGGTCAATTCAACGGGGATCAAGGGTTCTTCCTGAACAATTTCTTTCAGTTGTGACTAGAGTTCTCTCTTCATGCCACCATCATGGTAAAATCCATGACAACCTGTTTTAACTTTCATTGTTTTGTCACCACTGAGCTCCAGATATACTCCAAATATAAGTGTATCATGCATAACAAAGAAAACTAAGGCTCCACTTTAAAATCCAATCTTTTCCGGCACTTAGTCTCAGTTGCTGTTCCCTTTATCTGGAGTTACTCGTCTCTGCCAACCTGTTGTTCATGATACCCAGGGCACCGACTCCCCCAGAGAAACCATTATGGCGTGAGCTGCCACAGACTGTCCTGGGGTATCCATTAGCTGACTCTGACAGCTGCTTCTGCATGAGAGCCAGAGATACTTTGTTAGACGCTGCCAGGTCTTTCATAGAGATCATCTCGCCTGATAGTCTGCGTCCCTCAGTGTCACTATCGCAAGGTCCTTCGGAGTCAGGCGCATGGGCAAGACGACCTTGGCGACCCTTAGAGCCCGGCCTGATGGCATTACGCCGACCCAAGAAGGCCTGGGCCTTGCTGCAGCGCTGACAAAACAAGCAGCTCATTTTCTCCAGGATCCAGTTGAGCACCTGCTTGATGACAATGGAGATGACATTGAAGAGTGAGTAGATGCAGCACACACCCATGAGCATGAAGAAAAAGTTGGCCACCCTGTAGAGGCTTTGGTATTCATAGGAGGCGCTCTGGCTGCTGACGTAATCCCCAAAGCCAATGGTGCTGAAGGTAACAAAGCAAAAGTAGAGGGAGTCCAAGTACACCCATCCTTCCACCGGGGTGTACATGGCCGACGCACAGCAGGAAATAGTGATGGCTGACAGGCCAAGAATCAGCATCACGTGGTACACAGAGGGTTTCCAGCCTGGAAGGGAGTAGGCTGAGAAGTCATGGCGAATGCCTGGGGGGAGCAGACCGCTATTCCTGATTCTCCGCTCCCTCACCGCCTTCATCACCACAGCCAGCAGGGTGATGATTCGCTCCAGGAATAGGTTAAAGAAAAGGATGGTAGCAGCGCAGCCCAGGAGCCCATAAAAAATCAGGAACACCTTGCCTGCGACTGTGACAGGGGTTGTCATCCCGAAACCTGCAGAGACAGAGGATAAGTGTCAGACAGTTAATCTTCTAAGTGAGGGCAACGGCGGAGTTTAGGTTACAGGATGTCTTCAGTTTCTCCCAAGAAATCCCATTAAAGAGTTAAGAGAAGTGGTGCATGAAAGCGACACAACTATGAATTATGATTATGTGTTTTAAATGAGGCTCAAATTTAATTTTGCCCCTCTGTGTCTAGGATTACATTTTCAGAAAGCTAAAGAAGAATTAAAAAAGTAATGTGCTAAAACTAACTGGATAACAGTTTGGGATGAAAGTTTTGTGAAAATATGATTAAAAAGGAAAAGAGGGTTTAAGTGAGCTTTGCCTTGAGAGTTGATTACAACAAGGACAAATAAGACAAACAAGAATTTGAAACATAAATAATTACAGCTGTGTTCGATAAGACACTTAATCCCTGACTAACTTAGAGACCTACCATTACACCAAAGCATGGAGAGGGTGGTGTATGGAGGGCATCTGATCCAAAACCTATGCCAATAATCTGCTGTGGAAACCCCCCCTGAAGAGGGGCTCACCCTCCTACTCTAAATCAAGGTTAAGTTGATTCTCATAATTGACTGATTTTGAGTTTTGTACAAAAACTTTGTGAACTGGCGATACTGTCTGGTAGTATACACCTGGTGTGTAGTTCCCCAGTATCAGCAACAAAAAGGACTTAGTGGACTTAGTGTTAGAATCGGCTCCAGCACTTTAAAATATCTTCTGTCAGAAAATCACATCAGCTTCTCCACAGGTGGACTTTACCACTGACAACATCTCACACTGACGCAACTACACCCTCACCACCAAACAAAAAACATACACTACTCCAATAATACAGTACAGTTAAAGAACTGTTGTCTCTTTAAACTCCTGCATCAACCATTCCAGCTGCAGCTAGAAATTCAATTTTAAAATGCAAAAAGAAAAAAACTGTGGTATTGCATACTGTTAATTGTATTCAGCAATATGCAAAACTGAATATTCCTGGATCACCTGTGAAAAAAGTGAATCAGAAATAAGCTGATCCCAGCACTCTGTGTTCTCCCCATGACTTCTTGATCGTGTGGCGGCCGTGGCTAAGGCGGTGGTTTTTGAGAAGATGTTTATGACTTCAGCTGCATATTAAACCTGTGCTTCTCAGTCTTGAGAGGTGTCAAAAGGTGCAGCTCATAAAATCTCCCAGTGCTTAGAAAGCCAACCACTACGACTACCTCTTAAGGGGCAAGTGTACGAATAAAAGTTTACGACCGTGCTTACAGTATGTGCTGTAATAACAACTGTAATAATGTATAATAAGAATTTGAAATGTGGTGAACATAACTGAGAGATAGAATCATTCTTCCACTTATTGCTTTATCACGGAACCGTTCACACTTCTCCTAAATCCAGTTTGTTGACTCTAATTACAGGTTGTGAAACACTGGTTCATTACATAATGGACTCTCAGACCATTTTTAGCATGGGTAGCAAATGCACCGTAAAGGTCTATGTCACTGTGCATACCTCGCTCTTTTCCTATTTTGCACAGGGTGATGAATGTCCCCTGAAGTGGTCGTTTGCTTTTACATGCCTGCAGGGTATGGGTTCCATAAACTGCTGTTTCATCCCACTCGCACATCTTTTGTTGTTTGGTTTTTGGCAGCACTTACTATAATTCACGTCACATTTTCACTCCTTTGTACAACTGTTATTTTCCCAGTGTGGGATCAATGAATATAATCTAATCTAACTTTACTCCACTGATAACTCCACACTCTTGACCTGCTGTCTGCAGTTGCCTGCTCACAACTGTTTATTCCATTCAAAGTGCTACACAATTCCTTTAAACAGGCTGAGGAATTTTAAAAGAAATTATGAACATGAATTAAATGTCAATAAATTAGAATACAAGTTCAATTCGGGAAGCTATTGTTTACCAGACAGTTAAGTGACCAGCCCCCAGGCATTAATAGATCTGTTCTACTTTTATAAGTATTTTACCTTTTGGAGTAAAAAATAAAGCCACAGAGTTATTTCAAATATAATTGTGATTTAATGCGTTGATGTTGTGTTTTCAGTGCAGCTTGTTTTGTTTTGTCTGGTGAACTGGGGGAAGTTTTCAACCCTGTGCGAACAATAAAGATTAGTTTCTATTCTATTCTATTCTATTCTATTTTATTCTATTCCATTCTTTGTCACGTGCCTTCAGCTGTGCCTCTGTTTGATCTAAGACTTGTTACACACGCAGCAATCTATGAGTAATGCTTGATTTTCAACAAGCGATTTTCGTGTCCATTCAATATGTTTGCACCTCATCAGCACTCCAACACACACACACACACACACACACACACACACTGTACACCACAGCAAATAAAATGGTGCCGAAAGATCAACTTGTTCACTTCCAGGCTAAGGGTAATTGATTCTTTCATCGTGTCTTTCCTCCGTTTCTGTCTTTTCAGGGCAGCACATTTACCCCCTCTGACATGAGCCTGTCTGTAATCATCCTCGCCAGGTAATAAATGACATCAATATCTGGCCAATATTTCTTTTATGATGCTCAAAATGGCTTTTTCGACCTTATCTCCCACACTCAGAAACCACTCACAGGTGGGTCTGCGGTCGACACAGCAGGTCATTTAGATCAACAATGATTGATACAGATTGTTTTCTTAGAGACAAGAGGAAACATCAAAACACATAGACACAGAACTTTTGCCAGAGAACACACACACGTGGAGGGGATTTCTACATTACATCAGACGGTGAATTAGCAGCTGTTGTAAATGATCGTAAAGTGGACAGAAGGCTAGTTTTGTTTAAACAGTTAAAAACAGTCGACTAACTGAAGGGTGAGGACCAAATGAAGCCCTTGAGTAAAACTCTTTTCCTCCTATTTCATAGTTAATTAATTAGAAGCCCAAGACTCTAAAAGTGCTCTGAATCAGAAGGAAACAGATTACATCATTTCGGTGCACACACAGAGAGACAGTCCTCTGCGCTGTCTCTCATTACCAAGTAAATTACCTCAGAGGGGAAAAGGCTCCAAGCATCGATTCAGTGTAGCATTTCAGAGCCATTACTCCAGACTACTGTGTCAAGACACATTAGGGAAAACAGAACAATAATAGAAAGCAAAGGGCAGACGAGCTGAAACACAAGAAGCACACACTTCGTGACTTCCCCCTCCGACAAAAACTTAATTTGGTGTTCCGAAACCGCCGATTTCATGATTCATGATTCTGCTGCTGATCCCTAAGAACACTGCGCTCCATCCTCTCTGGCCAAGTGAAAATGAGAAACTTACAGCACGTCCCAGTGTAGCAGGACATCAACAATTGCACTTACATCCCTGGGAGAATATTCCCATTTACATTAAATCAAATATGCTGGAATCAACGGTGAAAATAGCGTTACTCTCTGATGGCTATCCTCCGATACGTACTGTAATTACACACTCAAGGTTCAGCCAGGAGGAAAGTGATAGAAATAGTGCCATTAGTAACCACTAATTACTGTTTGACAGTTGTGCAGAGAAGATAAGAAGAGACCATCCTTCCGTGTTTTCCATACTGTGGGAACTGTACTAAGGGACGGTGGTAATGTTGGTGTTTGATACAGTGTTTGTCACCAATAGTTTTGTGTAAATCACTGGTTCTGCGGTTGACACAATCTGAACTGAAGAGCTACTACTAGTGACCGGTGCTCAGTAACAATGGCTCATTAAGATGTGTGTATAAGAGGCGGGAAACCAAGGAGCAAAAATTACCAAGAGACTTCTCTATGGTGATATTGATGGACGTTGTGAATGCTTTGCATTTCATTGCTACACTTAGTGGACCTCTTCGCCTCTAAACAGTAATTAGTCGACACGCTTTGCTTCAAAGGGCCACTCTGAGTGAAGCACAGCACAAAATCTATGGATCTCAGCACGTTTTGCATCAGTTGGAGCACCGACAGCAGAAAACACAGTAGGCAAAGAACACCAGCACGCAGCAATGTGTGCAATTAGTCCTGACGAGGTGTTGGATGAAGCTACCGCTGCTATTGTCTGCATTTTAGAGCAACGTGTCCTTCAAATTTGAACAAACTGAATGGTGAGCACGGCAGGTTTTTTTTTATTTAGTGGAATTAGTTCATGGATACATAGTGTGCTTCATTAGAAGGCGCAGTGTAAACTGCTCTGGTTTTCCTTCAACAAATGATTCTAGGTAATGAGCTCAGGTCTGTGTAAACAATTTCTTTTTCAAAGTTTTCTAATCCTCAGATCTTTACTGTTAAAAAAAAAGAAACATCTGGATATAACAAAATCCCCCAAAACAAAACAAACAAAAAACAAAGTTCAAGTCAGTTTTCCCACAAACTTATATAATAGGCTGAATAGACAACTATAATCCAGACACATGTAGGCAGGTTCAGGCATAGAGATTTGCATTGAAATGTTTTGCCAAAGTTATAAAAAATTATGAATATTAATGTTTGCTATTGGCTGCTATGACGACCTACTGTACAAGTCATGGTAAAATGAAAAAAAAAAATCAAAAGTAAATTAACAAAAAAGTCAGTGGAACTGAGAGTTGTTTTTTGTCGTTCAGTGTTTTTCTTTTTACCTATTGATCATGTATATTGATTTTTTTAATCTATTGTAAAGGCAAATTGATTTATTCCACTGGAAATGGGCTGTCAAGGCCAGCCATCAGGACGCAGCATACATTCGAGCTGCAGGTAAGAATTTGTATTTAGAAAGCGTGAGTCACTTCAGCCGATAATTGAGAGAACAGTCAGCAATATAATTTGAAAGCGGAAGAGCAACACAGTGCAACAGAAATACACAAAGTCCCTTTTTTTGGGCTAAAACCTCTAATGGATGACTGTGAGAGAAGACTAACTGAAAGCACTCAGGGTCATGTTTCTGAATGAAGGATATGTTTTTTAATGTAGATTAGCTTGTCGCTAGAAGTCAGGCTGAAGATGAAGGTTACTGCAAGTCACAGAGGACAAACCTCC